ATTCAAGGATGTCGAGGTCGTACTTCTCTCATCATCCATGCCTTTCGTGAAGTCGTAACTTAAGTACATTTGCAACTCTGAAACATCGCTTTGTGTTCTCCTAGATGATGATTCACTACCAAAAAACTTAGACATCATGTTAGCAGCTTGTGCAAATAAACCTTTGGCCCTTTTACTTACATTTTTGGATGATTGAGAAGGAGCAAATTGAGTCACGGTTTCATATTTCGATTCATAAACTCTATATTAGGAAAAAATTGATCGGTTACATTAGTTTTATAAGATTCAACGTCATCTTCAAAATTCATGCATTGAAAATAAATATCAATTAATAAAAATGTGCCATCATACTTTTGCCTAGGATCTAATATAGAAGCAAAAATATAAATCACAGGAATAGTAGTGTAATATATACGCCATTTTTCCTCCATTGATGGAAGATATCCATCATAATCGTGTTGTAATCGGTGTTCATCGAAAAGTTGTGCAAGTAAACATGCATTACTAAGAAAAGAATGAGCACAAGGATTATAAAAAGAAAAAAAACAATGAGTCATACTATATAATAATTGTAAAACTGCATATATTTTTCACAATTAGACTAATCATCATCTAGTAAAGCAAATTGTGGAAATTTTTATTATAAAAAATTGTTAATGGAGCCTTGTACTCGATTTCCCTACTCAACATTTCATAGGTGGAGTTCTACCTAGTTACACAATCGTCGATATTTTAATAGCCTTTATCCTTTGTTGCCTGCAAAAAGCTTTCCATTCTAAAAATCTCATGTTAGAGCTGTTAATAGACATAATAGCATTTCTAATTTTGTGATAAAATGGACCAATTGCTTGTGTTCCATCCTTCACACACAAGTTAAGAACCTGAGAAATGCATCTAATATGAAGTGCATCTCCATCTAATATGAATTCGGTCAATTGTGCTTTAACTAAATTTGCACAAAATGTCATAGAAGTTGCATTAGCAAAAGTCATAGACATGATTTTGGGCCTAAGATTATATACATCAACAACTTGCATTAAATGATGAGCAATATTAAGACCAGTGTGGGGGTATTCAAGCATTTTAAAATGGATAATGCGTTTTTGTAATAACCAATCAGTATCCAACCAATGACAAGTCACACACAAATAATGATATCCGTAACCACTATCCCATGCATCAGTAGTCAGAGAAACTCTATAAGTAAGATTACTTAATTCATCATATAACTTCAATTTTTACTCTAGAAAAGATTTCATGGCAGCCGAACGAACAATTTTTCTAGAGATTTTTTTTTGTGTTAGGGTTGTAGTGCTCGGTTAATGTAATTGTTAAAGGGATCATTTTCGGCAAAAAGAAAAGGTTGTTCGGCATGTACTAACATTCTCCCAAGTTCATCTCTATCTCTTTCATAATTGTAAGTGAAGCCATGTGGATGGAATTGAGAAATTTTGGGTTGAGTTGGATCACTAGATGGCCCACCACATTTTTTTACATGTCTACTAAGGTGTCCCGTCCCTCCCTTGGTTTTGGCCGAGTAAATTTTGTTACATGTCTTACACTTGGCTTTGGTTCCATCTCTACTTAATTGAAAATATCCCAAACACTATTCTTTTGATTGCTATTGACAAGTTCCTCTTCGGTACACCATTCTAATTTGTTTGGAATTTGGATGTTTGGAATTTGGGTGCTTGGAATTTCGGGGGTTGTTCACTTGACCCAGTGGCACTTGTTTGGCTACCTTGGGTAGTTTGATAAGAAAATTCATGTTGTGAGCCATATAAATGAGGTGAGAATTGGTTTACTTGAAATCCCGAACTAGACATATTCCAAGGAGGCATATTGTTAAATTGTTCAAATCCTCCCATGGTTTGGGGATGGAAGTGTTCGGATTGGGCATGTTAGGGGGGCATTGAAGTGTTTGGATTTGGTGATTTCCTACTAGTACTAGTACGTTTTGACTTGGCTTTCCTAGAGGAGGAAGAAGGGTTCGGGTTTGATGCCATAATTAATAATAATGTCAACAATAATAATATCAACAATAATAATAATACAAATAATAATAACAATAATAAATAATAATAATACAAATAATAATAACAATAACAATAATAATAATAACAACAATAATAATAACAATAAGTCAATAACAATAATAACAGTGACAAGAACAATAATTATAACAATAATAATAAATTAATATATAACAATAACAACAACAACAACAATAATAATAACAATAACAAATTAAAATAACTTTGGGTTAGATCTTACAACGACGCTTCGATTGCTTTCCGCTAATTAATTTTCCGAACTTATAATTTTTTTTTTTTTTTATAATTGTGAGAATTAGAGAATTAATGATTATATGATTTTTTTTTTTTTTTTTTTTTTTTTTGAGAAGTAGAGATTATAAGAGAGTAGGAATTAGAGAATAAGAGATTTAGAGGATAAGAGATTTGAGAATATATGAGTTGATGAATTGTGGAAAAAAATGGAGGAAGAAGTGAAGTATTTATAGGAATTAGGAAGCAAAGTAGCCGTTAATATAGCCGTTTATGGCTGTTGGAGAAAGCAAAACTGTGGTGGGCCACGTGCCGTGCTCGGTCATACCTGCGGGCCATGCTCATGGGCCGGCCTGCGGGCCAAACGCCGTGCCGTGCTCGTGCCGATTCCAAAAATTTTGTTCACTGCACGACCCACGGCTGTGCCACTGTGCCGTGCCTACGGTGGGCTCGTGCCGGGCCGTGCCGTGCTCGTACCGCCTGCGTGCCAGCACGGCCCATGCCCACTTTTAATTGTGAGTAATGATGAGAATTTGAGAGTTTGAGCTCAAGAAAAAAGATAGTCCCCTAAAATATTTTAGGAGGACCTATGTTTTTGGAATCTACATGTATGTGTTTGGTTGATCAAGTTGGAATGGATTGGCATGGAATCTCATACTAGAGATGTATGGATTCTAAAATCCATATTAGACAAAGTTGTTTGGTTTTATTGTTGGAATGGATTCTATCCTTCATTAATAGAATGGATTGTAAATCTTAGGGGGAGGGGTGGGTAAGGGATTCCATGGGAATTGGCGGCAGCGGCGGCGGGGAAGGGGAGGGGGGGGGGGAGTTAGAACCCCTTGGGTATGATATTCCATTACTAAAAACCTCAATTAAACAAAAAACTAGATGGAATGGATTCTAACTCCATTCCAAATGATCCAATCAAACGACCCCGAAGGACCTATGTTTTTTTTAAAAGACATTCAATGAAGACCTTGTGTTTTTTGCTCGGGTGAGTTAAATAATGGTTAGTTTGTCAGATTATTAACTGGAGGTCCAAAAAGGTTGAAAAAAAAAGAGTGAGGTCCCAAAAGGTGAAAAAACTAAAAACTTAGTCCCCATCTTTATACTTAACTAAGTTGTTATAGTATACCTTTTTTTTTTTTTTTTTTTTAATGATTTAGGGTCCGAGTTTCTAATTGGTTGATTCTAAGAAATTGGTTGATGAATACATATGGAGTGGAACAAGGGTCTCCAAGATGAAGAAAAGGTTCGATTTCAAGAACAAAGAGCATGGACACAAACAAAGAAAAAATGCAATTAAAAAGAAAATTTCAAAAACATGCAAAAGAAATGGCTTTGGCTTTGATTTTAACTTTAAAAAACAAAGAAAACAAATTAATAAGCAAATTAAATTACAGATAAAAATGTGTTACACTACATTATTAAAAATAACCAATACATAGATCAACATCATTGCATAACATATCTATCTATCCTAAGCAATTTACAAGTAATTACATCTAATTACTAATATTTAAGTCAACCAAGGAAACGTTGAATTATCATGTGAGTCAGGTTAAATGGTTAGCAATCTTACAAATTGATGCAATAAAAGGATTTTCACTTAAATACATCAAATTACGCAAATAATTATGCTAAACACATAAACGGTGGACTATCGCGCGCGTTTGCGTGTGATAGGACTACTAGTTAGTAAAAATATATAATAATTGAATATATCGTTTCCTTGGAGAATAATGTGATTTTTTAGTTAGACATATAATGTAACTAAGATTGCTTAGGAAGTAAATTTGAGTGGCAAAGATTAGCATTGATGAGAGAAGCGCTGTGAAGAAATTAAATGATATTTAGATCAATATATAGTCGAATTTAATGGTAACATTGTTGACTTGGAAAAAGCAAATATAATATCCAAAACTTAATACCATAGGATTTCATTTAGATGGAGACACCGGTTATAATGCAATATTAGGACGAGATTGTTTCCATTCTTACTTTACAATCTCTTATTCCTTACACTTATTAGTGATTACCTAGAATGCGAAAAACTCTGAAATTGTACAAACGGATGAGGAATTTTTCGCAATTTCTTCGCAAGGACATTATGAAATTTATCCCTTCATAAAATGGCTTAAAAAAAAAGCGTAGAACCAAAGGTGAATCTAGGATAACAATTCTATGCTTCTATCTGCACGTGTATATGTAATAGAAAATCTCTCTCAACAAGTCAGCATGGACATAAAAGATTATTTGTTTGTTGTAAAATTGCAATTATGTTTTATAAATATAGAAATTATGATTGAAATTTTGTCTCCTCTCAACATAAACTCAAATTCAAAACATTGGTCAGCAAGAACTTGAACATAGACTGTCTGCCACCAAGGACTTATCGGTTACTGGTAAGGCATTTCAAACCTTAAACGTTGAAATATCATTAGCTTATTTGCAATTTTTTTTTTTTTTTTCATTTAGAAGTTTTCGCTCACCTTTTGCATTTAAATATTTTGCTCACCTTGTGAAAAGTGAAACCTTTTAAAAAATGCATTTTTTATAAATTTGCCAACCATAAAAAAAAAAAAAACATTATTCAAATTTATGGGAAAATTTCCACTTATTATATACTGTATTTTTTATATTAAACAAACAAACAAACAAACTTTACCCTATTCAATAAAGATTATTTAGTTTAATAAACCTAATTTTAATAACATAAAAGGACAATAAAAAAAAATAAATGAACGGATGGAATATTATAAATATGTCCCAAAAAGATTCTTCAAATTAATAGAAATATAAATGGATAGATGATATCGTATTCCTTAACACTGTCCCATAATTATCTATCTTGATCCTTTTCTTTTTATGTAAAAATTTCCTAAAATAATGGATTCCATAATCCTAATTAATCTCAATGACTTAGGCTAGGAATACTCCTCAAATTTCAAGGTTCCTTCCTAATTCACAACCCATTTGCCCAAAATTTCCAAAACCCCTGTTTTCAAAAAACCCTAATTTCTGTATCTTTTTAACAATCGATGAAGAAATTCAGAGTCTTTTGCACAGACCCAGATGCAACAGATTCATCTTCAAGCGATGAAGATGAGAAAATTGGTGAAAAACCTGCGAAAAAGAAGCGATTTGTAAGAGAGGTGACCGTTGGAAGCGGCGAAGAAGCGCCGGAAAAACTCGTGATTGACGGAATTCCGGAGGAGGAGACGCCGGGAAAGGCGGTGAAGTACCGGGGAGTGCGACGGCGGAAGTGGGGTCGGTACGCTGCTGAAATTCGAGACCCAATTAACAAGGTGAGAATTTGGTTAGGTACTTTTGATACTGCTAAAGAAGCTTATGAAGTTTATTATATGAAGAAGCTTGAATTTGATGCTTTAAAAACTATGGAAAAGTCTATTTCTGTTGAATTGAAATCTGATGATTTAGTGGATTCTAGGGTTAAAGAGGGTAAGGGTGAAATTGGGGTAAAAGAGGGTGTTGATGTTGATGTTGGTATTGAGTTGCCTGTTGATGTTAAGAAGATTAGTTCAGGGAAGTGGTCTGCTAGGATTACGCACCCGAAAACTGGGGCTAAAATTTGGCTTGGAACTTTTGATTCTGCTGAAGAAGCTTTTAGGGTGTATAAGATGAAAGAGGTGGAGTTTGAGGAGAGGTTCAAGGGTAAGGAGGTTCGTCGAGGCGAGGGGTTTGAGAGTAAGAAGGTGTGTTCTGTTGTTAGGGAGTTGGAGTATGGAAGGTTTGAGGCTCGAGTTTGGCACCCGAAAATGAGGAGTTATGTTTTTGTGGGTGTTTATGATAGTCGTGATCGTGCTGAAATTGCTGCTAAGATGAAGAAGGGTCAGTTTAAGAAGAGGTATAGGTCTTTGAAGAGGATTACATCGAATAAGCATAAGAGTGGTGATTGGCCTCTGAGAGTAGGGTGTGAGTCTGGAAGTTCAAGTGAAAACCCGAGTAATGGGGTTGGTTGTGTTGGACGGGAGATTGTTGTTGGATTGGCTGCTCCTATGTTGCCTAGTGAAGATGATGCTATGAAACAACGAGCTACTAATTCTGAGTTTGTTAAGGCCGGTGATGGTGAAGAAGTTGGAGATGTGGATTTGCCTGCTGGTGTTAAGTTGACAAAATCGGGTCGATTTGGTGTTCGTGTCACTCATCCAGGGACGGGGACTGAACATTGGTTGCGTTCTTATGGAACCCTTGAAGAAGCATTGAAAGCTTTTCATAGGAAAACAGCTGAGTTTCAGGAGGAGTTTAAGTCTCGGAAGAGGGTAAGACCTGATGAACTGATTAATTTCCCTAAGAAGAGTGAAGGCAGGTTTCTTAATGGCTCTCGTACTTCAGTTTTCGTGGATGTGGAAGATGATGAGAGCAGTGGAACTGTCAGTGTTATGGTGAAGAATGAAGTGGTTCATGATCCAATGGAACTTGAATATGGAATAGTTCATGGTTCGCCTACTTCAGTTCTTGAGGTTGAGTCGGTCAACTGTGGGGATGTCAGTGTTAAAGAAAGCAAGGGAAGTGACATTAGCTCTGAGAATCAGAAGCAACCCTTTGTGCCTTTCAGTTCTTTTGATGAAGCAGTAAGGTTGGGCATTATGAACGAATATGGAGAACTTCTCGGTGAATACAGTAAGTATGATGAACCGGTGTGGCTAAGCAACGATGATGAAGTTGGGGACACCACATACTACTTTTGAGGACCGACAGTTGCATGCTGCACCATTGAACTGTTGTATTTTAATTTCGAGAATAAGTTCTGGAGCCCCCATTAGGGAAAAGAATGCTTGGTGAATTCCTCGCAGGTTCAGATGATACAGTTGTTTCCGTTGGAGAGAGATGTCGGTTTTGGTACTTGGTACCTTCGCCTTGTTGTACATATTTAGGAATTTCCTGATATACTATTAGCCTATATTATTATTAGGAGTTTAGGAGTCTTATGGCAAATCTGCAATGCTTGTTCTCTCTTCAACTGTGTGTACTTTTGGTGATTGAATTGACGTTGTTAGGATTGTGTTAATGTAAACCAGTTTTTTCGGTTTCGTTGATGCCAATATGCTTAATTAATCAATAGGATTGATGTTATCTAAACAGTGTTCTAACAGACTTGAGCAGATCCAACCGATCAACGACATCATTCGATCATAATTTAAGACTGTTATTGTTTAAATTATGTGCCTGTGAGTCACATTACCTCACAACTTTAATTTGTGTCATGTCACTACCACTTACCAAATGTGTCGTAGTTTCACGTCTTATTCATTGTTTATTTTTGAGGTAGTTTGGGCACATTGTATGGGCCTTTAGCATGCAGTAACTTGACATCTAGAAGGCTCACGTCTAATCCAAATTGGGAATATCTTGCTTTGCTCTCCTATTATTTTTGCATTTTAACTTTTCCACTAAATTCGACAATTTGTTTTGCAATTATATATTGTGGATAGATCTCAACGTATTTCCCAAAATTTAATTGATAGATACTCCGTAGTTAGCACTGTCAAAACGGTTTGACAGTTTGGTTTCGGTTCGGTTTGAAATCGAGTCGGTTTGAAATCGGTTTAAATATCTTACGGGTCGGTTTCAGTTCGGTTTAAATAATTTTCAGTTCGATTCGGTTTCGGTTTATTCTTGAACGGTTTAAATTCGGTTCGGGTTGTAAACCGTCCGGGTAGTAAACGGTTCGGTGCAGACGGGTTGCGGTTTGTTAACGGTTCGGTGTAAACGGTTTTTATCCCGGTTTAAATTCGGTTCGGGTAGTTAACGGTTCGGTGCAGACGGGTTGCGGTTTGTTAACGGTTCGGTGTAAACGGTTTTTATCCCGGTTCAAACAGTTTCGGGTTAGAAACAGTTCGGTTTTTTTTGGTTCGGTTTAATTTTAGTTCGGTTTATAACTGGTTCGATTTGTTAAAGGGTTCGATTCTTCTACGATTTAACATTATTTGGATCGGTTTTATTTCTGGTTTACTAAATTACGGTTCGGGTTTGTTTCGGATTTCAAAAAATCGATTTTTTATCGAGTCGTTTGGATTCAGCCAATCAAACAGTTTTGGTTTGAAATTTTATACTACTTTATAACTTTTTGCTAGTTAACAAGTTTTATATCAAGCCGAGACTTCATCACTTCATATTGATGCATCATATTATATGCAAATTCTCATTAATTTTATAAATACATATCATGTTATGTTACAAGTTTAGCCATACTGATCTTACTAGTTTATTACGAAGTAGATTATAAAAGTTTAGTGCATTAATGTATTATTGTTTTACTATCAGATTATTATCTGCTTCTTATTTGATCATTTAGTTAATAGAGTCATAATCATGATTTGATGATTTGTTGTGACATCGAAATTTGCAATTTGGTATTTGATACTTAATTAGTCAACAAGACTGATAATTAAGACTCGTTTATCATTATATATTTGCATAAACTGATAGCAGAAAGTAGAAGTTAATGGCCCGTTTCACTTTTATCTCGACCCTGACTCGACCTTGATCCGCTAAATATTCATCTTGACCCGCAACCGATCGCTAATGACCTGCATCGACCCGCCCAATAACCACTGCTAGTAGTAAGTGGTTTGTAAATGGTTCGATTTATAAGCGATTCGGTTCATAAACAGTTCGGTTTATAAGCGGTTCGGTTTATAATCAGTTCGATTTTTAAACTGTTCGGTTTATAAATAGTTCGGTTCATAAACGGTTCGGTTTATAAACGGTTCGGTTTATAAACGGTTCAGTGTAAACGGTTTTATGCCAGTTCAAACGGTTTCGGGTTAGAAACGGTTCGGTTCATTTTCGGTTCGGTTTCCTTTCAGTTCGGTTTAGATTTGGTTCGGTTCTTAAACGGTTTAACGTTACTCGGATCGGTTCGGTTTCGGGTTTACTAAAATGCGGTTCGAGTCGGTTTTCGGTTTCATAAAAACGGTTTTTAATCGGTTCGGTTCTCATTCGGATCGGTTTGAATCGGTTCGGTTTCCCCGGTTTGGTTCGGTTTTTGACAGTACTATCCGTAGTAGTTATATTGGTTAACCGGCGTAACCATGAAGTCCATAGATTGCAATACAACTTTGATTCTCATCTTATGAACAGTCATCCTCATTTTCAAAAGCTCAAGCATTAAGATTAAAATGCACCACTACACAACACTTTTTATTTTTATTCTTTGAATTTTCTGTGATTGTATTACATCTACTAACCAAGAATTAATTGATTAGCAAATTAACACCACGGTAAAAATAGCACCTCATAGCCATATAAAGTTATTGACCACAAAAGAACGGAGGTTCATTTATCTTTTTTGACTTAATACTACTCAAACTTTGCATTAGTACATAATTTGTTGTCGTGCTGCTCTTTCTTCTAATGCTTTTACAATTTGTCGCTGCACATTAAGAACAAGGAAAGGATATAATCAATATGCAATAACAGCGTGTATTAATATATTTCTAGCGTCACATAATAATGCATCAATGTATATTTTCAACATATAACCTTTTAAAGATGTATGTGATTCAAAAATTTAATGGTCTAATGCATACTTTTAAGTTCATGAAAATAAATGCATACAGTAACATTGAATGAAAAGAGTATGATCTAATATCGATACTTTTATAATGTTTCCCCATTTGTTAAGGTTTGAAAAAACGGTATCAATTTTACCTCCATCTTGAAGGGGGCTGTCGTTAAACCACGTCGATAAATAACTTGTCCATCCACATCGATAAGGAATTTTGTGAAGTTCCATTTGACACGATTAGCCCATTTAGTCTCTCCATTGATTTTACTTGCTTTGAGGAATTTGTAAAGAGGTGGTGTTTTCGGACCATTTACGCATACCTGGTAGAAGATATCTTAGGAACTTGACACATATTTTATTTCTTGCAATTGTGCTATTGTAGAATAATTGATATTATATCACATAATTCAAATTACCTTACGAAAAACGGGGTACTCAGCCTTGAATCTGTCACAGGCAACCTTTCTTGTTTTTTCACTACTTCCTGGAGATTGCTTAAGAAATTGGTTGCAAGGAAATGCCAATACTTGGAAGCCTGGAACAATCAGCTAGTTGTTACCTTCAATTTCAATAGTTGAAACTTGAAAGTACAATCGATGACATATGATAACATTAGGGTCGTTTACAATCATTGACACGAACTTGTAGAAAAGGACAACTTTGTTGGATACAATGTGCTATTTCTGTTGTATTGTCAAGTTCATGTCAATGATAATAAACAACCCAAAGTTCATGCTCGTGAATGTATATTCACAACAAAAAACACACCTTGATCTTTATATTTCCGGTAAAGTTCTGTTAATTGGGGTAATTGTATGTTGGTGAACCCACTGTTTATAACAAATGCAAAACAGAAACAAAGATTATTATCTATATGATATATAATTCATGATAACAAGTAAATTACAAATGTATATATGTGCAAATATTAATACATGTTTAAATCGAGGCAAAGATCAAATACAAAATACAATAGCAGCGATTTTATAAACACAATAAATTTGACAAAGATCACCGAATTACAAATGATAAATTACCATTTTGTTGCAACATTAACAATGAGGAGAACCTTTCCTTTATAGATACTCAAATCAACATCTTTTCCCCTATAATCCTGTTCATTCAAAACATATCATTTCATATTCAACACGTTACACATAAAAGTTTATTCTCGACATTATTTTAAGAGACAAAACATTTAAAAATTTTAATCATAAAGAGATTCAATTCAAAGTACCTTAACTATAAATTCGTGTACTGATTTTTCAGGTACGGATTCAACAACACCCATTTAATTTGAGATAAGAGAAAACAAAAAAAACTTATCCTTTGTTTTCCCTTATCTTAATTGGCTTATAGGTGAAGTATGATGAAATAGGAAGATGATGACTTTATTAGATAAATTGTGGCGTGAAAGGAGGTAATAAGAACTAAGGATCAATATATATTATGCCTTGCATTAAAATTGGATAAGGCTAATTAATTACAATGGTTGAAAATCGTAGTAGTATTATGGGTTTTGATTCCATTTCAAATGTGTTGTTCACAAAAATCGTCGGGGTGCAAAAGGTTGGCTTTACTATATATGTCTCTTTGATTGTTTTTGCTATTAATTTTGTGTTGTGTGGTAGTATTCATTTCATCAAAATTTGAGCATTTTTGTTCTAAAAAATAAAAATAAAAAGTGTCTGTGTAATTGTCTATTTTCATTATATTGCCTCTGCCTATAAAGTTTTTTTCTAATTTGACAGTGAGGTTCATAAAAGTCAAAACAGGAGGATTTTTTTAGAGACAGGGAATAGGTTTTAGAAATGATTTTTCTCTTCAATGGAAAACACTCCTTACAGTTTACAAATAATGTCTTCCTAAGTTTGGGCATGCATATATTAAGAGTAAAGAATATGGTAAAATAGTTTTTTGATAGATAGTGTATGTGTGAAAAAATTTGTTTTCGGATAAATGTGTTAGTGAAAAACCCTACATCCCATAGATAAGATGAGTTTTCCATTTAAGGTGACTGAATAATTAATTGAGGACAACACAAGATAATTATTTTTTTTGTTTTTTGTTTTTTTTTTTTTTTTTTTTTTTTGAAAGAAACAAGACAATTATTAAGAACAAAATAAGTAATAGGGTGTGAATCGTGGGATTTATTTTCACATATACTTGTAACATTTTACATACATTTATAAAATTTTCTTTACAATTAGGAAAATAATCGACACATAAAGCATGTGCAGACTGCAGATTATTTCTGTTTGTGCACGACTTGATTTTATTTATTCATTAATACAAGTTTATCTCCATGATAAACAAAAATCGTTTATCTAATGACATTTTTTTAAATAAATCAACAACTTTTTATTAAATGTAGCTCATTGATGTTGATTTATTTATGAAAATGCCATACTGGTTGGGATTTCATGTTGATTTATTTACAAAAATATCCGTAGATAAACGCATTTGTTTATCACAAAGATAAACTGGGGCTCCCTCATTTATTTTGGTATGTTTTGAGTTCATACAAAATTCACCATGAAACTATTTCCTTACTTGGAAGAGCATCATATCGATCTTAGCATTGCACTATAGCATATTAGCATTTGATGCCATGCTAAATTGCTAGTGCTTGATGACATAAACTACATTACATCAATCCTACAGGAAGTAAAAAAACCAGACAAATAAAAGGCGCGCTAGCTAATGGTAAATTTGTATCCTATCTCTTTAAAGACTCGGATAATAGAGAACCACGAACATCGAAATTAGGGATTGTACTAAGAGCAGAGCCAGTTACAGTTTATCATCAAACATCATCGAACGAAAGAAATCAAATGATCGATCACAATCGGCTACATGTATAAAAGAGGCATCTTGAATCCCATCATCTTGGACCACTGATTTCTAAATTTTGATAACAAGTTAAGCTAAGAGGCCGATGACAACATGCCTTCGTCTTCGAAGCTTTTGATGCAATCATCAAACATTTCAGGGATACTTTTGAAACTTTGTAACCCCAACTGCAGAATCTTAGTAGCATACTAGCATCTATGCTATGCTGATTTCTGTCCCCTTCGTTGTTATTAGGCCTATGTAACACACAATGTAAACAAAATTAGCACAAATTTACGTAGTACGTTTATATAACAATGAAAGTATACGAAGTATATCATAATACAATATAAACAAGGTTTTTAAGAAATTATATCATACTTGGTTTCAAACGGGTACATGGGATACTTAGCCCTAAGCCCTGCCAAGACGTCGGACCAATGAGCTACCGAGCTTGAACAGATATATCTGCCTGATGCTTTGCTTTCCTCCATAGCTAATATATGAGCTGCTGCTAAATCTTCTACATGAACAAATCCGCAATAACCATTTGGATATGCGCCTTTTGCACCTAATAATATAATGCTCAAAAAAATAATTAATTATCAACTAGTATAACTATTATAAGCTCACTACTATATATATAATGTGAATTCTACAGTAATGGATAAAAGATACTAACCTTTGATTAGATCAAGTACATATTTGAGCGAGCTCATTACTACGGAGCAAGCAAGGGACCAATTAGAGTACATTCATTGGGGGAGGCGGGGTAGGTCCGAGCCAACCTCCGCCGCTAAATCAGTCTCCATATTAGTACTCTCCTCCATCACCTCACATGCCTCCTGCCTGCTCCTTTTACCCACCCCTTCAAAAGTCTCTCTTAACAGATCATCCTTTGCAAGAGGGCGTTTGTGGGATGTTTGAGAGTTCGAACTCGGCTTACTCCCAGTGGGGATGCGACCCTTTTTCCTCCCTCCACGACCCTCCTCACTTGTTGTACAACCAATGGAAAAAGGTTTTACAGGCCGGGGATATATGTTCATGAGCAGGTATTCCAACATTCGGCACCACTGAGGATACTTGTTCACTATTACCATTCTTCAAAGACTCGACATTCAGGTCTGCAATAGTGGTAGAGACAAGAGTAGTAGCAGCATTATCCAAAATCACAGGCGAGTTAGTTTAGGGATGCACCATCAGGGCATTCGACTCTTTACTCGCCTGGTTCTCTTGGACAACATCTTCGGGTTGCTTAGTTACAAAAACTAAACGTTTAGCAAAAAGCAAAGAACCAATTTCCTCTTTCTCTTTTGTAATACCCTTTTTATGTTGCTTCTAAGTTCGTACTCCACCCCAGTTTCTCTTATTTATCCTCCTCGGAAACAACAAGGCAATCACTTTCAGAGTGACCCATGATACCACATGCGTAGCAAAAGAATGGTAAGCGTTCATATGTAAAGTCAACTCGAAGATCGTTGCCCCTTCGATCTTTTATTTTCTGGAATCACCTCAAAGGTCGAGTTATGTCTAGCATGATTTTAGCTCTTCGAAAACGTCCAACCCCCAATATATCTTGCTCCAATTCCAGAATTTCACCTATACCCTCCACCAGTTTCCTAACATGTGCATCGGTCCCCTTCCTAACATGTGCATCGGTCCTACTTATTGAATGGGAGATTTTTTATTCGAACCCAAAAGTGGGATTGATTGAGAATTACCTCGTGTGGCTGCTCATTCCCATCACTTTCTTTCAGCACTACAAGCATGTTATCAAAGCACCACGACCTTCCTTTCAAGACCTTCTCCATATCCTTCCAATGGAAAAATTGTAAAGCATATAAATTGGGGCCAAGAACCCTAATCGCAACACCATTGGTAGGAGCCCAGACATTCGTTATAGTTTTCTTGAAAGCATCGCGTAAGGAGTTTGCCGATTAGCATAAGCGACAGATTTTTCTCCTCATCGCTAGGGTTTATTTCTCCAAAATCGATTGCTGTATTTTCCTCCTCATAAATCCGGAGGTTAGAACACATAGTCGCAATTTCATCCACATTGCACAAGAAATCAAGAAAGTAAACAAAGAAATTGAAAATCACCGGAGACCGGTGGAGCTCTATCCACGGATATAGAGAGTACTTTTTTCGAGTGAGGAAACCCTTTCTTTCGAGGGAGAATTAATATTAACTTAAATTACTTGAGCTGAACATTGAAATTTTTTTGTTTGGAAAGGAATCCATTTTAACATAGCCTAAAATAAAGCATATGAGTTTGTTTGATTTGGCGTGGTTTATCGAACTTCCAAACAATAATTTTTTTATACTTTTTGAACATCCAATGCATGCAAGTGGAAGTGAAACACATAAACAAAAACACCAATGACAGGATCCAAAAGAGTGATCACGCAAACCATCAAATGGTTTTGTAGGCATATGCCAGCAGAAAAAAGGCAAGCTTCATGCCGATGTTTAATATAAATTCTTGTTTTTACATTTCGATGATGACCCATGTGTAACTATGCAAAATATTCGCAAACACACCACAAATAAAAAGAGGAGTTCTCAGCCTATAAATTTGAGTCAAGTAAATTTAATAAAACACGTTGATATTAAATTATATTTTAGATGATATTATCATGATATCAAAATACTTATTTAGTAGTACCAACGAATGAAAAATGTTTTTTAGTATCGATATAATTCCTTGTTTTTATTTAGATGATACCATTTAAATACAATGTAATACCAACGTCGTATTATTAAAGTCATTCATGACTTAAATTATTATAGGTAGAATTCCTCAAATAAAAACTATACTTTGCACAAAAGTTTGATAGGCATAAGAAACTATGCCAAGAATGACTTATTTAGTGAAAGCTTTATATTTTTGCAAAAACTAAATGATATAGAGTAGATTTTGTTTTGGCATCTTGGGTATAGCTGCAATTCAACACAGGAGTTATAAATTCAACGTTAGGAAAAGGTTAAAGGTTCTCTCTAATAATAACCATGCAATAAGAAAAATTAACAACAAAAGTTCCAACTATGGCCGGTCTTCTTTAAAAAGTCCAACCTTTCAAATAACGAAGGACAGTCCCAACTATTGTACATATTTTCTTCCAATAGTCCGTAACCTTTAACTTAACCGGTTAAATGAACTACGTGGCGTTGTTTCATAGGTGTTTTTTTTTTTTTTTTCTTTTTCTCTGCTGCTCCTCCGTCCTCTCTAAGCTTTCTAATCAACCTCTTGCTAGAACAACCGCCTGCAGCAGCTACCCCACCACAAAATCACCACCTTCTAACCTACCAGAATCACAAAAGCACCAACCCAAGCCACCCCCATAAATCCACCAAGTCAGGCCACCCATACGAGCCACACCACAAAACCACCAATCGACGCACACCGGGAAGACATGAAGCCACCATCGTGCCGTCTAGCCCATCCTCATCCCAAAATTACCACCTACCAACCCACCCACACTACAAAACCATAAATCCCACCAATATACTACGCCACTTATGCAAAAATCAAAAGCTCTTACCATCCAAAATCAGGGATAATACCAGCAGCTTTGGAGGAGAATCGTGGCTGCGGCTCGGGCTTCACGGTGAGAGAGCTTGAGGGATTAGGGTGAGATGGATCAGGTCCGAGAATCGCCACCATTGTAGCGTGCTATAACTGAGTGAACTCAGATGTCATTAGAGGAGATAAATGGAGGTAGAAGAAGAATGATGGTGGTGACAATTGAGGTGGTGAACTGGTGGTTGAAGTGTGGAGGGTGGAGACTAGGAGCAGTTGTGGTGGTTATGTCGTGAAAGGAGAGAGATTGAGAATAAATTATTATAATTAAAATATATTACCGGTTTAACGGGTAACAAGTTATAATGGATTGTTTTGAGAAAAAATTGTTATAGTTGAGACTGCCCTTAGTTATTTGAAAGATGAGACCTTTTAAAGAAGACCGGATATAGTAGGGATTTTTGCTGTGAATTTTTCCAATGCAATGTTCTATAAAAGGGCACTCTTCTAGTCTTATGCTACTTTTATTAGTTGTTACGTAATACTAATTGATAGCTTAAAATATATAAGGTGCTTGCCATTAGTAATTGATACTCGTATCCGAGTACCATCTCAATTTAAGTCCATTTTAGTACCTTAAATTACCCAAGGTGCTTATTGCCAAACACTAATAATTATTTAACATGCCTTAAAATTTCAGCACCTTATCATTTAGGATCAGATTACTAAAATGAGTTGTTTCAAAAAAAAAATAAAATAAAATAAAAGATGACTAAAATGAGTTGTCAAATAGAGGCATTATGTACAATCCTTAAGATCAATAGAACTGCATTTCTTCCTATTTGTGGACGTAATTAACGCATCATTAGTGAATCACGTAAAATCTATGTTCTTGTTTGTTGATTTTTGATAATCTTTCTTGCATTTGTTATAACACGTGAATTATGCTACGCTCAGAAATATAGATTTGAGTCCTATGCATGGAATAGACGATGAGCTGTTGGCAATGTATCACAACACAACTTATAAGAAGGGAGTATATTCTTTTGCTCCTTTTACCTTTCTGTTTTCTTTGTAAGTCATTAGCAATTCAAGTTTATCGACGTCTTGGAAGTTGGAATGAAACATCATCGTCCAAGATACTACCTCAAACTGATTTAAGTCATGTAACTCAATGATACTGTCGCCTTCTCTTGCAACTCAATGATCTTATTATCAAGAATTTAATCCTTCTACTAAGAAAAATAAGCAAACTAAATCTGAATTGGGGAACCAATTTGTTGACATCATGACATTATTAAAATTGACTGGAAAAGAACAAAGAATAATACACCTTACAAAAATCCTTTGTCTTGGAAGCTCTGGATGCAATCGTCGAACATTTGTGGAATACTTTTGAAACCAGGGAATCCTAGCTGCATAATCTTGCTAGTGTCCATGCTATGTGGGAAATCATTTCCTTCAGTACTGCCTTGCCTAAGATACCATTAAAACAATGTTATCATGAAAGATATATATGTAAAATTCTTAGAGTTGCAAATGCCATATAATTTGGGTCCTTTGTGAAAGTCCTTGCAACAATTAAACTTACTTGCTTTCAAATGGATACATTGGATACTTATCCTTGAGCATCTTCATGATATCTGACCAGTGAGCAAACGCGCTCGAGCATATTAACCTTCCTGATGCTTTGGTTTCCTCCATTGCTAATATATGTGCAGCGATTACATCATCTATGTGAACAAATCCTATAACCTGTTTTGGATATCTCCTAGAGCACCGAGTTCAAATTAAAAAGCCACAACATTTACAGGTCAGGTTGGCTATAAGTTGCATTAATCCAGTGAAATCATCGTATTTGTACAATTTCTAATTGACGATGTGACAAGAAGGTGTTTCTCAAGCAGCACAATCCAGTTTGCAAATTCATTCTGGAGTTTTTCTTTGGTGTTTAGTAAGGCTATCCTCCAAACATCACCATACTGGTCACCAAAAAGATTAGTATCACAGTCCATATCTAATGAACTAGCTGCTCATAATAATGCATTTCGCTTATTAGTTAACAGTCATGACACAGCTGATATTATAAATAGAACCTAGATACAGAACAACAGGAAAGTTTCTTTCTTGCAGTATGTAATGGATGAAACCTGTTAAGATCATTCATGAGAATTTCAGTCTATTTTGATAATTCCTCTTTTTTCTCTTTTCTTTTTTTTTTTCTTTTCTTTTCTTTTTTTGCACATTACTTCAGTTCAATAGATTTTCATGAGTAGATAGTAGCCTAGTATGTCTAAAAAGTATAAATGCATCAGTACATTTTTGTTATGGGCTTTTGGTTTTATAATATGTTCTGGTGAAGAGAGAATTGAAATTTCACCTTTAGTAAGTGACAATATGAGTTCCAGTGTGCTTGTAGGCTGTGAAGTTAGCAACGGACCAACCACGAATGATGGATTCACCGCCACTAGATCAAGACCACTCTCTTTAGCTACTTCCCATGCCGCCTTTTCTCCTAATGTTTTTGCATATGCATACCACAGCTGCATCCAGTAGCAGAAACAGTATACTTTAACTAGATCACTGATTAAAGACATGTTCTTACTAGAAATATATAGATTACGTCTCCTAATACATAAAACATCAGACCAAAAATCAATTAAAATGGATAAAATAACGCAACAAATAGGCAAAAAAACTAATCCAGGTTAATTGATTTAATAATAAACTTAAAATCTGTAGTGTAAGTGGGGTTGGTAGGAGAGAGAAATAATAAAATAATAGTAGGTTCTTATCAAACCAAATATGAAAACGTTGCAATTATTATGAAACAGATGTAAAAGGAAAATATTGTGATTATTACAAATCGGAGGGAGCATTAATTTATGTCCCTATATACACATAAATAAATATATCTTTAAATAAGCACAAAAAAGGATTAAAAAAAAATATGTAGGTTGAAAAAAAAGAATAGAGCGGAATAACCTTAACAATTCTAAGACAATGGAGAATTGTTCTGTTTAAATCCTCTTTTTTTTATTAACATTATATTTTAAAGTAGCAATTCAGTGTAATGCCCAGCCCACACACTATAAATATTATTGTAATTGGGTGTACACAAAAGTTTTTGAACTATATTAATTACCCGTATAAACTTATCCCATTGTCTATATACATTGAAATCATATCTGATATATTTAAAGTTACCCCAAATTGGCTAAAAGTTACCCTAAAATAATTTGATGTATAATAATTGTCCTCACACTATTCATAAGTGTTTTTTCATACTTTTTAAAAGAAAATAGAGATTTTTGAATAGAGTTACATATGATTTACATATTTATTTTAAACCGGTCTTATTTAAAGTTTGTGATGATGATTTTTTTTTTATCTTAACTTGGATAACTGTATGAAAGTTGTTTCGGGGTTTTTTGATGTCCTGCGGGAGAGTTACAAATCCAAGACTGACTTCTGGATGCCTGTACCTGCAAAATAACGGAGACTCCTGTTGGTGGAAGCTCCGCCTCCGACGATCAAGTTAGAACGTGTATGAGGAGTTTAAGTGCGGAAATTAAAGTCTCTCTTGGGGTCCAAGAGAGGATCTGCAATGTGAATTGCTCAGTTTTGGGGTGTCAGGTGTCTGACTAGTTCTCTGCTTTGAGAGTAAGAGTAGGTGTGAGAGTCAATCAGGGTTGATATGAAGCTCTCTGAATGTGTTTGGATATTTCTGAATAGGTGTTTCTTTGGGGAAACACCTTATTTATAGTCTAAAAGACTGTGCCCAATACTAGGTTTCTGGGAAACACCTTTTTTTTTTGTTTTTACCCTGACCCTTGGAATTCACCCCCCTATAAATAGGGGATGTCCAAATCATTTCAAATGATTACCGAACTTTTCAGACAATCAAAAACAGGACGCCTGCTCCGTCTTAAGAAGATATTCTACTGATTCCCTTGGACGACTGCTAACTGACCGACTACTTTTTAACTGCCGACTGTTTTACTGGCCGCTTGATTTTTCAACCTTCCAGAGTTGAACGATTTCCAGAGTTTTTCTAAAGGTAACCGACTGTTCCCTTTACTCTTCTTTTCTTTTATTATTTTTCGAAAATGGTATCCCAAAAGCACCCGGCACGACCTAGGTTAGTGATCAGCCGGTCACCGGGAACGGCTGAATCTAGAACTAGGAGTGCCGACTGCCCCTTGCTGGACCACCCTTTGCGAACTAAGAGTCCGACTGTCTCTGTGTCTGTGTAGGACACCATGGCTAGAACCAAGAGAACGGCAAGAGTATCAAATTCAGACGGCTCTTCATATTATGTCCCTTTAAGTGAGGTTTCGGACGTACCGCCTGGTGCACCCAACACCCCAAGGGACTCAATCTTAAGAGTTTGATGAGGGGGCTGAGGATGCGCCCCTCACTATTGACTTATCAGAACAGGCGACGGGTGTGCCTGTTTGCTTTCGTGACTCAGAGACGAGCACTTTCAGTCGGCACTCGGCCGACTCCGAGGAGAAGCACTCTCGGCTTCGCAAAGCGAGAGAGAGTGTTGCTGTAGAGAGAGGAGGCGGCTAGGCTGGTTTGAGATTTCCTCTACATCCGGCTGTAGAGAGGATTTTGGACTGTTACCAACTTGGCCTATGGCAGTTGGCCCCAAATTCCTGGTTCAATATTCTCGGCTATGTAGCCGCATGTGAAATGTATGGGGTGGACGCTAGTTTTGAAGCGTTTTCCCATATGAATTACCTCAGCCGGACCCCAAAAGCAAGTGGTACCGGCTGGTATCAAATTTCCATCCATAAAGGCTTTATGATGACTATGGGGAAGGAGAATAAATGGAAAGATTGGCGCAACACCTTCTTCATAGTCTCCAGTCCCAATAAAATCCAAAACAAAAAATATAATAGGTGGAACAGAGATCCACCCCTCTTAGCAGGCGCCTCGGACCTGCCGCATGTTCCTCAAAAGGCGAAGGAGGAAATCCTGGACAGTGGCCTGTTCCAGGTGATAATACAGTCGCACCCTGAAACAGGGATAAGGGAGTTCATTCCCAAATACTATATCCCCAAGTACAAATGGCTATATGATGGGGTGTACTTGGCCGCCTGTGGCCTGAGCGAACAGGTGCCGAGAGGTAGCAGACCGCCTGTTTTTAGCGTCTTACTATACTTAGAACTTTTCTTGCTTACTAACCGATTTGTTCATCTTTTGCAGATATAGCTATGCAAAATATCTCGGCATCAAAAAAGGCAGTCGCCCAGCTTCGAGCAGCCATTCTTGGCAAGAGGACGGCTGAAGAGTCGCCTGCAAAATAGGCGCCTAAGGTGAGCCTTTGTGAATCACTTAGCTTGTAAGTACTTACCGCCTGTTTCAAGCTAATTATTTTGAGTGTTGCATTTTTGTAGGGCTACGTTCCCAAACCATCCTCCTCGTCCCAGCCTGATTCTAAAATTAGGAAACAGGCGGCGGGCGACGTGTCAACTCCTAGTAATACCAGGCGACCCGGGTCTGAGAAGCATGGAAGGACTCACCCAAGTGGGGCTAAGATCCCTGTGACCCCTGGTAGCAGCCGGATCCAAAAAGAAAAGGAGGCGGCCAGAGGTATATTTGAAGTTTCTTTAATACTGTAGCCACCTGTTTGAAACCAGGCGGTCTTTTGTTTTTATTGATGTAAACTAACCAGTGTCATTTTGCTGGCGCCCTTGAAGAGCCTGACTTGGTCCAGATGGCGAAGGCTATGCTGAGAGCAATCCCTGTTGAGGACAGGGAGGCTGTTAAGGGAGTCAGCACCCTTAACCTCGAAGCCATCCTCGTCCTCCTCGCCGAGGTATACTTGGCGAATTTTTGTCTTTGCAATTTTTTCTTTGCTTATGTATTCGGTGGCCTGTTTTACTGACGACTGCTTTTTGTTCGGCCGACTGCAGTCCATGCTGCGAGTGTATAGTCTCCGCAAGCCAATCAATGATAAAAACAAAGAGGTAAAAGCTGCGAAGGCCATGGCCGCCTCTAATTCAGATAAGGCTATGTTTCAAATAGCTCAGAATGAAGTCTTGACAACTGACATTCTGTATTCTCAGGCGTTAGCCAATGTGCAGGTCAAGAAGGACCTAGAGGCGGCCAGGAAGAAGATCCTGGGTCTTGAGAAGGCCGTCTTCGACCTTAACGAGGAGATGACGACTCTTAAACAGGCGGAAAAGGATGCCAAGGATCTCTGCGAGCGGGTCGAGAAGCTCAAGGGCCGCCTGGCCAGCCAAAAGGCGGACCTCTCCCAGCAACTCACTGAGAAGGCCGAGGGGGAGAAGGCGGCTCTCGTCCAGGATATGATGGAGGACAAAACCACTATCATGAAGATGACCTGGGCTGCTCTCTTCCCTGATGCCGACTATGACAAATGGGATCGCCAATTTGTCGCCTGCTCTGATGAATACAATAAACAAATCATGGAGGAAGCAGGTGGCGATGAGGACGCCGAGGGCGAGGAGTCCGACTCCACTGCTAGGGAGTCGGACCAGGAAGAGGCGGCTGGTGAGGAGGGGCCGGCGCAGGAGGGAGTGATTGCTGAGAAGGAGCCGTCCCGGTCTAGGTCCGAAGGTCAGGACCAAGCGGCTGTTGATGCATAACCTCCTACTAAGATTTTAAGCTTATTTGTAAACTTTCCTTCGGCCTGCGTGCCGCATGTTTCATTACCCGACCAAGGGGTCGAGGTGTATCAACAATTTCTAATATTTTTAACATTTCAGTCGGTCATATGGCCGTCTGTTTTTATCACATATCCGACTATTTTGGTCGGTTTCTTTGGAATTTTGTTGCATGCTTGCATTTTCGCTTTTCACGGATTTTTTGCTAAGTGTTTGTAGCCTTTCTTCATGAATGTTTAGCATACCGACTGTTTAGTATACCGACTGCTCTTGCCCCTGGGCGACTGACGCCTGGTTTTCAAAGGTGTTTGATTGACTTGGAATTTTTGATACCTAATTCTGAGTCAATCAATCACTGGTGATTGCCTCAAACCAGGCGTCCAGTCGACTAAATACCAGGCGTCTGGTTTCGTCCAAGACCAGTCGTCCATTTGGCTACGAAACAAGCGGATATTCATCCTTATTATACGCACAGCTTTAATGGCCTACTGGACTCATTATTAGAATAGGACGACTGCCGAGCAAAACTCGATATTGATCCTTGTAAATGAAGTCAGGGGCCTCTTGTTCTCTTATCACTCGGCTGTCGGCCTTAGCAGTATGTTGAGATCAGTCGGCGAAGGACCATGCGGATAGTTTGGTGTACCTAGTCGTCCAGTTGGTTGTCCCTCTACTTGGGGCTTTGTGTAAAACAAGCGCCAATCAGGAAATTTTTTTAACCAACCTATGCTAGGGCGAGAGTGAACAAGAATTGTGGCCGTCTGCCACCTGTTGCGGAAACCAGGCGGCCACTTTTGAGTCTTTCAGATTCCAATTAATTCAATGTATTGACTATGAGTTGACCTTAGTAGGTTAAATCAGTCTTCGCCAATTTAGAATGAAATGTAAACAAGAGAAGTAGGCAGACATGGCCGGATGTTATCTCTTGTTGCAATCGTTACGCCGTTTATAGTTTCTCT